GATATGTTAATGCATGAATGTGTAGAGTTTGTTAGGGATCGCATTGATATTGTCTTGAGTTATGTTTATCATCGTTTAGATTTTTTTGCATGATTGTATAGAGTTTGTTATGGATCATTGCTTTTGTCTTCACTTATGTGCATCGTAGTCTAGATTTCTTATGCGTCATTGTGCTTTAACTGATGTGCAGATCATGCCTATAAGCCACAGCGACCCTTCCTTTGATGATGAACCCATTGAAGAACTACGACATACCGGAGAAATGTTTTTGCGGAAAACAGTTGAAGGTTAAATGTGTCTCCAAAGGTGCAGAGACGGGCACTAACGGCCGCAAATTCTATGTGTGTCCTGACTGGATAGATGACGTAAGTTAATCGGTTACATTACCTAGTCATTTTTTGTATAAAATGTTGATTAGCTTTAGTCATTTGTGCAGTGGAAGACACTGGAGCATATCTTTAAGTGGTGGGAAGAGGCTGTGGAAGACGAGATCGGTAAATTGGGAATGAGGATTCGAGAGCAAAAGGAGGAATTGTTTGTGCTGCAAAGACTTCCGGTACAGAGCATTGGAGGACTAAGGGAGGAGCTAAGGGAGCTGGAGGGCGAAGTTTCCAACCTTTACTTGAGCGAGATGGTTAACCAAGCAGAAACACGTGAGGAGCTAAGGGTGATGCACGGTGAAGTTTCAAACATGAAGCAGGAGATGGCTAGCCAAGGTGAAATATGTGAGGAACTAAGGGTGCTGCACGGTGAACTGTCCAACCTGAAGCAGCAGATGACTAACCAAGGTGATAACTATCTGCTACTTTGTTTTTTTGTGTCATAGCGGCAATCTCCTTCATGTTGTCTTAGATGCTATGACTCGCTACATGTTTAAGCGGCTGTTGAATGTTGTTGGCTATGTGTTGTATGTTGTTGGGTACTTGTTTAAGCGGCTGTTGACTTCTTTAAGACCCTAAACTTATGTCATCTATGTACTTCCTTTGTTTGGTTATTGCTTTGTATATATCTTTGTTTTTGCTTTCGTATATCTGTGTATGACCCTGACAAGTTCGGCGTAAGAGGCAGGCAAGCACAGAAAGGTAATTACACTTTTTCTCTGCTTTGTTTAATATTTGTTCTTTTTATATTCGGTTACTGATGACATGGTTTATTTTGCGAGGTGTATTTGATGAAAATAATTGGAAGAAGGAACTTTATAGTTGGCACCTAACGAGGTTACACTCATGCGTTCAAACAAGGTCAGTTTTTAGTCATTAAAACTAGTTAGGTGGTTGGTAATGGTCTTTCTTGTCAATCTTGCTGGTTTAGGTTAGGGTAAATAGTTGTTAGGTTGATAGTAAAAGCCAATCTTGTCAAAACTCACATCTGTTTGGTTGACGAGTTAATGTGTATGTGTTCATTCATTGCAAAAGATCTTTTAACACCTAAATTTACAAAACTTAAAAAACACTTAAGACACAAAAACAAAAACTCTAACACCTAAAATCAAGAATCACTAACCCTTATATAATGTAGACATTGGTGAAACCCTTCTCTTTTCACTTTTAAACCCTTCTCTTTCCCGTTCATGGTCCGTTTGTTGTGCTAAACCCTTCTCTTACCCGTTCATACTCCGATCAAACTTTTAAACCCTTCTCTTACCCGTTCGTACCTCGTACTTTTCTAAAAATCTTTCTTCTCTTACCCTCCTATGGATTCACCGAACCCATATGGTAACTCCCAGAGTTTTTTAAACCTCTTAAACAGCCAAGATAAAATCTCTTTCTCATTCTCACCGAGTGTAGACCTTGCATCCTCACAAGTTCCAACATTTAGCACACAGCATAGTGAAGATAGAAGTTTACCGGCTGAGGATCGCACATCATGGAGGAAGTGGCATTCAACTGAAGACGTTGTTCTGATCTCTGCTTGGTTAAACACAAGCAAAGATCGTGTCGTCGGTAATGACCAACGAGCAGGAGCCTTCTGGAGCCGCATAACTAACTACTTCAACTCCAGTCCGGATTTAACAGGTTTCCAAAACAGTACTCTAAGTCACTGCAAGCAGCGTTAGGGCCGAATCAATGATCAAACATGTAAGTTTGTAGGGAGCTATGAAGCAGCATTGAAAGAGCAAATCAGTGGCCAAAACAAAAACGACGTGATGAAGAATGCTCATCAAATCTTCCTCAATGATCACGAGTTTAAGTATGGGCTTGAGCATGCCTGGAGGGAACTCAGGCATGACCAAAAGTGGAGCTCTTCCTCGGCTGTAAAAGATGCTGATCAGAAAAAACGGTAAAAGGAGATGCTAACTCATCTCAGCCAGATGCAGCTCAACATGGAAGTCAACGAGAGGAGGCAGCAGAGGTTCGGCCCCCTGGTGTGAAGGCTGCCAAGAAAGCCAAGAGCAAAAAGTCTGTTCGGGGAGTTGAAGAGGAAATGATCGACTTCACCAACATGTGGGAAATAAAACAACAGGATTTAGCACACAAAAAGATGCTATCCAGGCAGAGAATGCTTGAGCACTTGCTCGCAAGAGGAGATACACTTTCAGAGGGTGAAAAAACTCTAAGGGAAACACTCATTAAAGAAATCTTGTCTTAGTGTTTTATGTTTAATATTTTCTGTACTTCTTTTTTGTAGGTTTATGTTTTCTCCATGCTGAACTACTAGCTATTATGTTTTAATGGCTGTTTTAGGTTGTTAATATTAATCGGTTATATTTATGTCTTAATGGCTGTTTGATGTCTTTAATCTGAATCGGTTATGTTTATGTCTTCATGGCTGTGTCTCTTAATTTGAATCATTTTATATATGTTAATCGGCAAATGGGTCCTATATCTATTTTGTTTTCTATTGTCGTTCAGGTTGTGGAGACAAGTGAGGCACAAGTTGCTTGAAGATGGGTCCTATATGAGTTGGTGCTGGTGTTCTCTAAGCCATATATTTTGACAGATGATTTGTATCCACAAAATCTTGTAAACCATATAGTACAAGTGCTCGGCATCCATGTATTTTTAAAGATGTTTTGTATCCACAACTTTGTGTAAATGATTATAAACCACATGTACATCTATATATAGAAACTGCATTTGCTCGTAAAACGATTACCACTCTCCGTTTGTTATATTACACTTCAAACGTCTGCCTTGAAAACAAAGTTCCCTCATTCGCTTTTTATTTCTAAACCCAAACACTCTTTTATAAAGTTTTATGGCTTCTTCTTCTAATAATCCCCATTATAATCCTTATGATAGTATCAATGATGGTATTGATGAAATTTTTGATGACAAGTTTGATCAAAAATTTGACAATGCTTTCAACACTTTACTTGAGCGACAAGTCGGTGTACGAGATGCCAAGAAGGTGTACGAAAAGATGTCGAAAGGGCTTACAAAGTCTTGCAAGCCAGGTTTGCCATTGTTAAAAATCCAGCTCTTATTTGGGATAAGAAAAAAATAGGAAATATCATGCGAGCATGTATCATATTACACAATATGATAGTAGAAGACGAACGACCATTCAACACCCAATACAATCTATCAGAATTTGAACAGGGAGAAGTAAGTCGATATGACATATTCAACTAATATGTCCACAAATATTAGCAATATGATCGGTATTCGAAACGAAGTTCGTGACAGACAAATTCATGACCGATTGAAAGCTGATTTGGTTGAACACATATGGCGTAAATTTGGAACAAACCCGCCTTACAATTAAACGTCTACTTTCTATATTTGTATTTTCTATGTTTTTAAAACAAGATTTGAATTATTTGTAATTTAAATTCTAAACCTATGTAATATAAATGGCTTTACAATGTAAGTTTGTTTTTTTTACATATTATTATAAATAAATCGAAAAAAATAAAAAAAAAATATTTTTTTAATCGCATGAACCCCAATAACAGATTCAGGGATGGAGGTTGGTTTTTGATACCAGTTCTTCACTGTTCCGAAAAAAAAAATTATTAAAATTTTCCAGTCATCCCCACTAATAGTATCAGCAATGGAGATGCCCTTATTACACATGTGACATGTCAAAGATTTAAGGAAAAATTGGAATTCATGCAATAAGATATTTATAATTAATTTTTTTAATATTTAAATCATTTCTATTTTATGGTTTAAAAGCTTTTAAATTTTTTATTTAAATATAGATAAACTGTTTAGATGGAAAATATATACAAAAAAGATAAAAAAAAATATATACAATTTATGATTGATTAATTAAACTGAGAGTTCTATCTTTATCTTTCTTAATATTGGTATTGTCTTCAACGATTCAACGACATTTTTTTTTATAAAAAATACTTTCTTTGATATTTTCTTCACCGTCAAAATTAGTATGACCAACCATTTCTTTATAATAAAAGGCTGTGAAAAAATGTGAGTAAACGATAGGGTAGAGATTGTGAACATAACAGGTGGGCCACATAGGCTTCAACTTGGTTACTTAATTGATGGGAAACTTGTTGGCATATCATTTGGTGGGCTGAGTTTTCTTTTCGTATTTGTTTCATTCCCTAGGAGGCTAGGATAAGTTACGGGCCGGCTCTGGTGACACTACTTACGCTTTTATCTTCTTCTTTCTAAATGGAATATTTACATGGAAGGGTTAAACCAAAAGCATATTGTTTTGGTTTGCTGATAAATTTGATTGGGAATTTGATACAGAGATCGGAAAAAAATCACAGAAAAAAAATCAAACCATGTGACACTGTTACGTTGAAATGCTTTTCCGATTGAATTTTCAAAAATTTTCAGCATTCAAAGTGTTTTCAACGTAAAATTCTCTATAAAATGTTTATGATAGGTAATTAATCAAACCGTTTAGAAGACAGCCAAATCTTCAGCTTAAACTGACTAACCAATTTTAGCAAGAGGCCTGTAACAAGAAAACAGTATATCTGTTTTTCAATCGAAATGTACAAAAACCAAACGTTAAAAAAAAAAAAAAACTTATTTAAACTTGCAAAAACAACAAGAGTTTACAAATAGCGGGCACAAATAAATTTCAAAGACTGTTTTATTTCGGTTTATTTATTTCAAATACGATGATTCCCTCGATTATTTTTATATTTTTTTGAATTCATTGACCATACTTAGCCTTGTACTCTCTCCAAAGTTGATTCACGTCTTTCCCAAGCAAATCAACGAAGAAACCATCACTATAGCCATTCTTCATCTTCTTGTTCAGCTCGGCCACAAACCCATTCCTCAAATCGTTACAATAATCCAAGAATCTCGCAGTGACGTCATATCCCTGGTCCCACTTATCACCACCACCGGGCCCTACCCAGTGACCCGGGGCGTAACCGGCTTTAAGCCTCATGTAGTCTGCTATACCCTCGATAAGCCCACCCGGACCGTTCCACTGCCAAGAATGGACCACCTCGTGATAAACCACGCCGGTAAATTCCCTCCTTACATCTCCCGAGACACCCGCGAGATATCCCGCGTTGAAGTGTATCTCGGATCCTGAATTCGTGTTGTACGCGACACCGTTCCCGTTTTCCATAATCAGTGTGATCTTTGTAACGGGTCTTCTGTCCGAAGGGTTGTTGGTTTGCTGGAACAAACGCCAGACGAAGTCGGTCGCAGACTGAAGTGACTGTGTGCCATAGCTTACGCCGCCGATTTCTCCCCGGAATCTTCTTCCGCCGGCGGAATCGCCGGTGTTGTCCACTACCGAGAATTCTACTGCGTTGACCAGTGAGACCGCGAGAATCGGAGAGATTACAAGGAAGATATTGTGACACGTCATATTTTTGTTTGTTTGTTTGTTCTGGTTTGTTATTTTGGGACAATGATCTATTTAGATTCAGACGTAGCTTTATATAGAAATAAGAAATGGATTTATGAGTACAGCTTTATTTTGGTCCACCGAAGACCTTTCTTCGGTAGTGTTCCACAATCGTAAGTTTTGTACAATTACGACTTGTCACTTATGTAACTGTATACATTTCAATGCCGGTAAGAAGAAGGAATCCGAATTTTAATTGAATATATATATTGCCTATTGGTCACGGTATTCTATTAAAATGCATAACATAAATTACATGCTATGACTTTTAAAGATCATACAGTTTGATAGAAAAGATGAAAGCAATAAGATTAAGCATACACTTACATAATTTAATACTATCCGGCCAAAAACATAATACAGCCAAAACTTATATCCATTTTTTTTCCGCAAAAATGCAATTTCACATTTTTCTGCCCAAAACCTGATTCTGCGTTTTTCCGCCAAAAGGAGGTGATTCAGCATTTTCCCGAACGGATAAAAGGTGGTTATAGACACAAAATGCAGAGTAAATGTTTTTAGTGTTTAGCCCTCAAGAGAGTTTACACAAGAACAAAAACAAGGAATTGATAAATGTTTAAGTCTAATGCTAGTTGTAGGTGCAAAAAATTGTCCTTCCTTGGTCTTCCTCTTATACTTGAATCCATGTTTAATGTTGTTATTTACTCCGCCTGATTTTTCATGAATGGCATTTAATCTTGTGGATACGACTGATACTTCTCAGACACCTTTAGTCGTCGATTGGAATGAGTCCTTGGTCAATGCATGGGTTTACTGACTCCGACATATATTCCGCTTAGACCGAAAACTACTCCAGCGTGTTTTTGAACTTGGCTTTTTACTTCAAGTTTGACTTTCACTTCTCCCGCATTTATACTTCTTGCTTAATGTTACTAAGCCAGTATTTTCACCTTCAAAATATATATATAGGAAGAGAGCACACCGTTGGCATAGCCCCTCATATCATATCTTGGGACAAAGCCGTCCACTGTTGCAATTGATCGAGCCAGAGAACGATGCAGTGGAAAGGTATATATAGATCCAATGAATGAAAATTTCTAGGATATTGTATTTCTTGGAGAGTCATTGTAATGAATTTCCATTGGACCATATCAAATGCCTTAGTTTTAACAAACATAGATAGGAGATTGAAGACTGTGGGAACTCGATTTTGATAAAATGATAAAATTTTGCTTGTTGCTTTTCTGGGCGATTTCGTTGTTGGAGTGACCAGATTTTGGAATCATTGGATTCCTCGATGTGAGCACTATAATGTGGTATACTCATTGTTTGAATGAAAAATGTGACAAGAATCCTTTAGAAGTTATAAAAAGTTCCTTATATTTCATGTCAATATTAATAGAGAGGCTATGCCTTATATACACAATACATTTAACCTAATACTTAACATATATCCGATGTGGGACAAATGCAATAAAGATAAATACAATAAAATCTTAATATGGTTCAATACCCACCGCCCCCTTTTTAAGATGGAATATGGAGGTTATAAACACCCAGCTTACTAAGAAAATCTTCAAACTCCTTTCGGCCTAGCGCTTTTGTCATTATATCAATGAGTTGAGACTTAGTGGAAACATGTTTAGTAGCAATAGTACCGCGAATGATCTCATCACAGATAAAATGACAGTCCAACTCAACATGTTTAATATGAGCATGGTATACTGAATTAACTGCTAGTTTGAGAGCCGATTGACTATCTGAATGAATGATGATGGAATAGTCACACGAGATACCAAGAACCGGAAGTAGCTGTCGTAACCAGAGAAGCTCTTGATCTGTGTCTGCCATTGCTCTATACTCGGCCTCAGTAGAAGAACGAGACACAACATCATGCTTCTTTGTTTTCCACGATATCGGAGAACCGCCAAGTTGTATAAACCAACCCTTTAAAGACCAACGAGTAAGGGGACATGAAGCCCAATCTGAATCATACAAAGCAGACAAAATAAGCGGTGTACCGGTTTTTAGAAGAATACAGTGCCTGGGACTTTGTATGAATATCGAACCACACAAAGTGTAGCTTCCCAATGTGCAAGCTTAGAAGCACTCATAAACTGAGAAAAAATATGAATAGCATAGGATAACTCAGGACGTGTATTAGTCAGATATATAAGTTTCCCCACCAAACGACAGTATGGAGCAGGATTTGACATAACCGCGCCATCTGCCAAATCAAGCTTGTGATTCTGTTCCAACGGATGAGTAGCCGGCTTAACACCAAGTAAACCAGTTTCAGTGAGGATCTCAAGTGCATATATGCGTTGACACAAATACATACCAACTGGACTTCGTGCGACTTTGATCCCTAAGAAGTATCGCAAAATGCCGAGATATTTAATATGAAAACATGAGCTCAAATAAGTTTTAAACTCGTTGATTTTTCCAACTGAGCTACCAGTGATGATCAAGTCATGAACGTAAACCAACACATAAATGCGAACAGACTCCTTCTCAAGTGTAAACAGAGAATACTCAGATACGTCATGGTGGAAACCGTAAGCTTTCAAAGCTGATGCAAGCTTCGCATACCAACATCGAGGATCTTGCTTTAAACCATACAGTAATTTCCTTAATCAGCAAACTTTCGTTTTGTCATTTGTCCGGAACCCTGGAGGAAAATGCAAGTATACCTCTTCATCAAGATCTCCATGTGAAAATGCATTATGGACATCCATTTGATGTACTTCCCAATCAAGAGAGACAGCTTGTTGAAGAAAAGTATGAATTGTTACCATCTTAGCAACTGGAGCAAAGGTCTCGTCGTAATCAACTCCCTCAGTTTGATTATTCCCAAGAACAACTAAATGTGTCTTGTATCGTTCCACCAAACCATCAAATTTCAATTTAATTTGGAAAACCCACTTACAACAAGCGCAATTTTCCTAGGAGGCAAATCTTCGACAGTCCACGTACCAAGATCTTCCAGCGAGATGACTTCATTTTGAACAGCCCAAAGCCACTTTTCATCAAGAAATGCCTCTTTGCAGCTTTGAGGTTCTATGGCGGAAGTCATATCCATGACATATGTCTGATAAGCGGTAGAGAATTGAGACGAAGAGAGATTATTACCCAAAGGATAAGGTGTGACGGAAGGAAACAGCTCAGTAAGTAACTGCGAGACAAAATCTGCAAGCTTAACAGATCGTTGTTTCTTGTGATGCCTACAACCAAGTAATTTGGGTTCCTCGATTAAATTGTGGTGTCCTGGTGATCAATGATTCAGAGAAATAGCTGGAACAATCTGCAGTTATCAGAGTTGTATCAATAACTATATCATTTTACCAGCAAAACTTTTCTTCGTCATGAGCTGGTAC